TTCAAATAAAACCAAATTGATATATATATATATATATATATATATACACACACACACACACACACACACACACACACTATGATATTCACATTATGATAACAAATGTTACATTCTGTCATTTAAATGTTGCTCTATTCAATACACTGCAAAACAAAACAGCACATAGCAGAACCGGGACCATATGTCCACATATGATGCATCCTAGCACTGTATACAATGCGTGTCAATAGATAAACATGAAGGTTCTATTTACAAATACCCAGCCAAACAGGGCAGCAAATCACAAGTTTTAAAGTCCTTTTAAGTTCAAGGCCCGATATTCACACAGTCAACCATTTTCTAGCCATCTATTATCCATATGCCTAACCTACACTTATATTACACATTATAAACCATCATCAAATGTTTCTGCACAATGGGGAAAAAAAGAGGCAGAAAGCTGGCTTTTGATAAACAGCAGTGTGTACAGCAGGGATATACCTACGCCCTAGATGTGCAGTATTCAGATGTTTGACAGTGAGAGATCTCAGCCCATATCCAGGTTGAAAGCACTGTTGCTTCCAGCTTTTCCACTGAAATGAGAAAAGGGAGCAGACAGGGTTTACAATGCAAGCGGGGGGGAGCAGGCTGCATTTCAGAGATCAGTTGTAAACAGAGCATTCTACGTACCGATTCTTGGATACAATGTTCCCAGATGCAGCTATTCCTCCAGTATTCTAGAGCCCAGTACCAGTGACACGCTGCCTGCCAGAGAAGGCATCAGCTGGTCTCCGCAGGGTCCTATACTCCGCCTTCCACACACTCAGACTGCTGCTAGGGGGGGTTCAGAGATTAACACTAGGACTACTGCTCACGTCAGCAGCAATATTGCTGGTGTTTTAAGGCAGTATAAGCCTGTGGCTTCAAATACAGAAGACTCAGGAGCACTTTTGTTTTCTTCTTATAATGCTACAAAATAATGTTGCTGTTTTTTTCACATACACACAATTGTTTTCATTGTTTTTACACTAGTGCCTTTTCATCCCAGAATTTTGAGGATTTTACATTATAGAATGATTGTGATACAATGCATGCAAATGGTGTTCATAAAATAATGACATTATGACCCCCTGGATTGAAGGCATAGATAAGATGTCAAGATAACTTTGCATTTATCCATCACTATATTGTTTAATTTAATCAGGCTCTCCTTACTGATAAAATGAGGGCATGGCCATTCCTAACCTCAGGTAGGACATTCCTGCCCTCTTCTTTCTATAGATAACTCGATGTTATATAGTAAGCTGGATGCATCTGAACTTGTGTGATGCCAGAGGCTTCACATTCCACTCTGTGACTGAATTGAAATACCTTCTGTCTTCGCTAAATCTAGAATGTGGTTGCTATAGCATCAGTTTAATGCTGAAAAATGTAGTTCCTAAGCAAAAAACCCCAGTAAGTCTGAATTTAGTTGAGTTTAGCCATAAACAAATGCATGGTTTATTTACTGACAGGATAGTTTGGGACCTTCTTTCTTGACCTTTTCTTCTCACATGGTTTTCAAATCAATTTCTATCAAGCAAATACATTTAGCAATCCTTTTCTCCTTTTGCCTCAGTCATCTTACCAAAACCCGAGCAAACCTGAAGTGTTTTTTTTATCCATTGCCCTGTCAACCCCATTAACACCCTTCCCTTCTCTCGCAATCTTCCCAATAAATAAAAATTATAAACTCGGTGTTATCTTTGGTCCTTTTGTCAAATATACCGCTGATTTACAGTTAGACATGGTTGCCAAGGAGGAGGGAAGAGGATGGTCATAGCCAGCTTTGATGATTCACACCCCTCCAGATTTGCCTGCATGAGTGAAGATGTTGGAAGTATCAGCTCGGGAGTGGCTCTGCGTGAGAAAGCTCCTCTTTCTAACAGCTATGCAGGGACGTATTTGCAGCGAGGCAAACAAGGCATTTGCATTGGGCGGCACTTTCCAGGGGGCGGCAAAAAACGCCGCCCCCAACTGCCCAGGCAAATACCTTGTTAGCCTGGCGGCATTTGGCTAAATAAAAATCCAGGCGAGCGGACGCCGACGAGGGAGCACTGATTAGTGAGCTCTCTGCTCAGCTCCCTCGCACGCCGCAGAATGATGCCGGGAGCCAGAATGTGACATCATATTACTGGATTACAATTAGCCGCCCAAGTGCCTGCATGCCTGCCACCCTCCCTGCAAGAAGACCCACTGGAGCCCAGGTTTAAAAATCCACCCAGCTCTTTCCAAGGTAGGGAGGCTGGGTGGATTTAAACTAAAATAGAAAAAGTAATTTTTATTAATTAATGTTTGGGGGGGGGGGTTGTGTGTATGTCTGTCAGTGTGTGTCTGAGTGATTGTGTGTGTCTGGCTGTCAGTGTGTGTCTGAATGATTGTGTGTGTCTGGCTGTCAGTGTGTGTCTGGCTGTCAGTGTGTGTCTGAGTAATTGTGTATGTCTGGCTGTAAGTGTGTGTATGTCTGTCACTGTGTGGCTGTCTGTCAGTGAGTGTGTGTGTATCTATCAGTGAATGTGTTTGTTTCTGAGTGGTTGTGTCAGTGAGGGCGCCTTTGTGTCTGAGTGATTGTGTGTGTGTGTGTATCTGTCTGTCAGTGTGTGTCTCTGAGTGAGTGTCTGTCAGTGAATGTGTGAGTGTCTGTCAGTGAATGTGTGAGGGTCTGTCAGTGAATGTCAGTGAATGTGTGTCTGCATCATTGTGTGTGTATGTCAGTGATTGTGTCAAATCAGTGCGTGTATGTCAGTGTATCTGATTGTGTGTTAGTTGTTTAACAGGAAGAGGTGTGGCATTGGCAGGAAGGGGTGGGGCAAATGTAAATTAGGGGGTGCCCAAGTTCTGTCATGCCTAGGGAAGCACAGATACTAAATATATCACTGCAGCCATGGTAGGGGATTCTATTATTAAAAGAGTAGATAGGGTAATCTGTCACTCTGATTGTGTCAAATGAAACGTTTGCTGTCTGTCAGTTGCACAGATTCACCATGTTTCTGAGAAAGTGAATAGATTTTTGAGAAGGACTGAGGATGACCTGGCTGTCATGGTTCATATTGGTACCAATGAGAAGGTTAGAGGAAGATGGAGGGCCCTAAAGAACAAGTTCAAGGAATTAGGAAGCACATTTAAGAAGAGGATCTCCAATTTGGTATTTTCTTAGATACTTCCTGTGCCATATGCTTTAGTGGGAAGGCAGCAGGAGATTAGGCAGGTCAATGTGTGGCTGAGGTTTTGTTGTAGGATGCAAGGTATTGGGTTTCTAGAGCCAATTTTGGACTGGGGTATAATTTTTATAGCCATGATAGATTGCACATAAATAAAAGAGGGTCTTTTGTGGGAGAGGATGGCTAGGAGATTGGAGGAGGCCTTAAAATAGGATGGAGTGGGGGGCGAGGGGGGTTTAAGGAGGAGGGGCGACACAGAAGGATTAATGTGGAAGATAGTACAGAAAGGATATGGAATTCAGCTGAAGTCCAGGAGGGTGGAGATGTGAGGAATGGTTAGCAGTCAGAGTAAGGAGGTATTAAATGAAAGTTTTTCAAACATAGTTTAAGAAACAAACGCTAACTTTAAAAGTCTTCTTGCTAATGCAAGAAGCTTGTGTAAAAGAATTGAGGTGCTTGAGATATTTAGATACAAGGAACAGTATAACATAATTGAGACTTGATGGGATGAAACACTTGATTGAGCAATTATAGGGATATAATGCTGCTTCACCCAGTGCTGGATTGACTTATTTTATGACTTTGTTTACCACTTTTTAAGGGAGGGACGTAAAGAATAATGCTCAATAGGGCATTACTCTGAAGAAAAAAAACAAAAAACTATTTCAATAGTATAAGGGCATCTCTACAATAATTTGAATGACAGGAACTATTTACTAGCAAAAGCACAGGTGATAACTGGAAGATCTTTAAATCAATACTACAAAAGTAAAAAAGAAAAAGGTATACAAAGTAAAAGGGTCAGTTAAGTAATAAACAATAGGTAAAGGGCATTCAAAATATTTAAATCAGATGCGTAAACAGCATCCTATAACAAATATTAGCATACCAATAGGGCTTGCAAAATGACAATTATATACACTAAACTAGAAAATGAAAAGCTCATAGCCAAAGAAAGCAAGACTAACCCCCTAAAAAGTGTTTTTAGTGCATTAATATCAAAAAGGTTAAGAATTAAAGTGTTGGTCACATTAGAATCTGATTATGTGTTATTCAAGAAGGTACAGGATAAAGTAGAAATTCTAAAACCAAATTGTCTTCAGTATATAGCAAAGAAGAATCTATGGATTTATATTTGTACATATATGTTACAAAAGCCTTACAGCAAACAGGTGATTGGTTAACAGCAATTAAATTAAGTTAGTGTTAACAAAGCACCAGGGCCAGATGGTATTCACCCATGAGTGCTTAGGGACCTTAGATTAGAAATATCCATACCATTGTTTTTAATTTTTCTAATTGATTTTCTTTCAGGAATCATATCAGAGGACTGGAGAAAAGCTGATGTGGTGCCTATATTTCAAAATAATTCAAACACTCAACCCAGAAACTACAGACCCATGAGCTTAACATATGTGTTTTGGAAATTATTTGAAGGACTGCTAAGGGATAATGTGTAATAATTTATTTTGAACAACAATATCAATACAGGAATCAACATGGTTTTATGAAAGACAGGTCATGCCAAACTAACTTAAATGCATCCATATGAAGAAGTTAGCACAATTATAGATAAGTGTGTTCCAGTGGATTAGAATTACTTGAATTTTACTAAGGCATTAAGTACAGTTCCACACAAATGGTTACTATTAGAACTGAAATCAGTTGGTATAGATGAAAGATTGGATAGAACGTTGGCTTCATGGTAGAGTACAGAGAGTAGTTGTAAATATACATTTTTCAAATAGGACAAAAGTGATATGTGGAGTTCTTTAGGAATTTATCCTGGGTCCATTTCTCTTTAATCTGTTTACAAATGATCCAGAAGTGAGCATTGCAAGTCATGTGTTGGTCTTTGCAAATGACACAAAGCTAGGTAAGGTAATACAGTCTGAACGTGATATAACTTCAATATAGACACATGCAAAGATATGCAATTTTTGAATAAGAAACCCACAACCTCTTATACAATAAATGGGGCTCAGTTAGGGATAATAGCAAATGAAAAGGACATAAGAACAATTATAAATAATAAACTACAGAGTTCATTGTAAAGGCTTGTAAAGTGCTGTCATGTATAAAAAGTTTAATTGATTCATGAAACCAAAATATAATTTTGCCTCTTTCTAATTCAATGAAACCCAACCTAAAATATATGGTACAATTTTGGGCACCAGTTTTAAAGAAAGATACTACAGAACGAGAAAAACTGCAGAGTCAACCTACAAAATTAATAAGGGGGGAGAAAACATTATCATGAAGAAAGGCTAGATAAACTGCATTTGTTTTCTTTAGAAAATAGATTTCTTAGAGGTCATATAATGCCACTATGCAAATATATACAAGGTCAGTACAAACCACTATGTGCTAACCTGTTCATTAGCTGAATATACATCAGACAAGAATACTCTGGAAGAAAGTTGTTTTGCTTACAGCAGAGGAAATGGTTCTTTATTAGTGATGTCCCGAACGGTTCGCTGAACGGTTCGCCACGGATGGCGAACATATGCGCTGTTCGGTCCACCCCCTATTCGTCATCATTGAGTAAACTTTGACCCTGTACCTCACAGTCAGCAGACACATTCCAGCCAATCAGCAGCAGACCCTCCCTCCCAGACCCTCCCACCTCCTGGACAGCTCACTAAGAATGCAGCTTCACAATGAATGTAAAATGGATGCGGTCCAGAAGATTTTGCTAAGAGTTTTCTTTTTTTCTGTTACAGGTAAGATTCATCTATAGGAAAAGGTTAATGATTGCACAAGGTTTCATTTCCTGTTGGTAATTGGTAAGGCATTTGATTTGATTAGCTAGGTGCTTGCTATTGAGTGTTGGTTAATTAGCTATTGTTTGCAAATAAGCATAGACCTACCCAGGTGTTAAACATTCCTAGTGGGTGGTGCTTTTAGGAGTTATATAAGGATTGTGGTCATTAGCTTAGCTAATATAGCTTGGTTGTTTCATCTAAGTGCTGCTTTTAAGTGTGTGGTTGGAGATATTCTGGAGAGTTTTACTGATTCTTCAACTGTCTAAGATGTTGCTAAGAGTTTTCTTTTTTCTGTAACAGGTAAGATTAATCTATAATAAAAGGTTACTGATTGCACAAGGTTTGATTTCCTCTTGGTTATTGGTAAGGCATTTGATTTGATTAGCTAGGTGTTTGCTATTAAGTGTTGGTTAATTAGCTATTGTTTGCAAATAAGCATTGGCCTACCCAGGTGTTAAACATTCCTGGTGGGTGGTGCTTTTAGGAGTTATATAAGGGTTGTAGCTTGGCTATCATAGCTTGGTTGCTGCTTCAAAGTGTGTGCTTGGAGATATTCTGGAGATAAACTGGAGGTAATCTGAGGTATACAGGGGGACAAAAAAAAGGAAAATAAAAGGAAAAAAAAAGTTAAGATTTGTTTGATTTAAATGACTCATCGCATTAAAATGGCAGACTTAGTTCAGTGTAATATTTGTTATGCATTTGTTTTCCTTTCCACTTTTTAGAGATTTGGATGCTGTCTAATCTGTAGACAGTTCTCTATAATGCGGCAGGAGATTGTATTTTTGAAGTCTGAGATTTGTAAATTATCCGGTAGACAAACTCAGGCTGGAACTGTTGCAAAGCCACTGCCGCAGAGACGTCCTAGGAATGGCAGATAGATTACTGTAGGATCTGGTAGAGTTGTGGATAAAAGTCATATTGCACAGTCTTTTGCTCTACATAATTCATTTTCAGCACTTTCAGAGTATAATGGTGTTATGGAGACAGACTCAGGCACCAAGTATAGTGGTGTTATGAAGACAGACTCAGGCACCAAGTGTAGTGGTATTGTGGAGACAGGCTCAGGCACTAAGTGTAGCGGTGTTGTGGAGACAGGGTAAGGCACTGAGTGTAGTGGTGTTGTGGAGACAGGCTCAGGCGCTGAGTGTAGTGGTGTTGTGGAGACAAGCTCAGGCACCGAGTGTAGTGGTGTTGTGGAGACAGGCTCAGGCACTGAGTGTAGTGATGTTGTGAAGACAGGCTTGGAGACTATGGTGAGCCCTGATAGAAAGCAGCTGTTGTTAGGGGATTCTATCATAAGAGGTGTGGAGCTGGACAATAGTGGTCTTATAAGATGTCTTACTTGAGCTACTGGCATTTGGGGAATTGGATGTATTTGTCCATCTAGGGACAAATGACTTGGCTTGCAATGAGGTTTCAGAGGTAAAGGAAGTTTTTTGTGTTTTTGCCAATGATATACAGCATGTTGCTTCCACACTGTCATTCTCTGAAGTTCTACCTGTGCATAACACTCAGAACGACAGGCGGATGCGTATTAGGGACTTTAACATGTCGCTTGGTGAACGGTGTCAGGAGCAAGGATTTGGCTTCATTTATCATGGTAGCTCTGTTTGGAATGGAAATAAACAGTACTAAAAAGATGGTTTGCATCTTTCTAAAAAGGGAACAAATGTTCTCGGTGAGTAGTTCAGAGGTTTTGCTAGGATGTATTTAAACTAGGAGGGTGGGCAAAAGGGTGATAGAACATCAATGCAATTGCCCCCCCAAAGCAAGGACAAAAGGTGCCTGTAGCAAGTGTGTTAAAAAATGATAAGCTTAGAGTCATGTCTACAAATGCTCGCAGTTTAGGGAATAAGATTCATGGGCTTGTGGCAATAATGGCAACTGATAATGTAGATTTAGTCGCTGCTACTGAGACATGGTATAATGAGAAAAATGACTGCGACATAGCAACGCAAGGGTACTTTTTATATAGAAAAGACAGAGAAGGCAATAAAGGGGGAGGGGTGACCCTGTAAGTGAAGGATAGCATAAAACTAGCCTAATAAAAGTTAGTGAGGTGAACATAGAGTCCATTTGGGTTACGTTAGAATTTGGTAAGTAGTTCAGTAGTGGGGGAAGTAATGGAAACCATGTTAAAGGATAGGATTGTTGAACATCTAAAATCACATGGCTTTCAAGATCAGATACAAAATGGGTTTACTTCAGGGAGATCATGCCAAACTAATTTTATTGATTTTTTTTTATTAGGTAACTAAAATTATAGATCAGGGTGGCGCAGTAGTAATTGCTTACCTAGATTTCAGTAAGACTTTTGAAACTGTTGCACATAGAAGGCTTATCAATAAACTGCAATCTTTAAGTTTCGACTCCAGTATTGTTGAATGGGTAAGGCAGTGGCTGAGTAACAGGCAACAGAGGGTTGTAGTTAATGGAGTATATTCGAAGCATGTGCTTGTCACCAGTGGGGTGCCTCAGGGATCTGTACTTGGACTCATTCTCTTTAATATTTTTATTAGTGATATTGCAGAAGGTCTTGATGGTAAGGTATGTCTTTTTGCTGATGATACCAAAATATGTAACAGGGTTGATGTTCCAGGAGGGATAAGCCAAATGGCAAATGATTTATGTAAACTAGAGAAATGGTCAGAGTTGTGGCAGCTGACATTTAATGTGGATAAGTGCAAGATAATGCACTTTGGATGTAAAAACCCAAGGGTAGTATACAGAATATTTGATAAAGTCCTAACCTCAACATCTGAGGAAAGGGATTTAGGGGTAATTATTTCAGATTACAGGTTTTTATCTGCCGTCATATTCTATGTTTCTATGTACACTTGTGATAAGAGTGGCCCATTGGAATAAGCATGTGACAGAACTATCTCTTGGACAGCAACTAAAGCATCACACAACTTTACAATTGCTACAGTTATATTTTGTCCACAATAGAGGTAAATGTAATCTTATAACAACCACGGGAGGGCTATCTACATTTGGTGAGTGGGACAACTAAAAATAAAAAGTCAGGGCAAAACCAGCAAGTTGTTCCACAACACTTCATTCTCTTTGTTAATATTATACTGCAATACTATAATACTGCAAGATATAGAATGCAAAAATGTTAATACAGTCACATTATATATTTAGTACTAAACTGTGAGACAGGATCCAACAAACCTCTCTATACCTGTGGATCGACAGGGAAATGCCCCACTGCCCCCCTTACCAGCCTTCCCCTGATTATAATTTTCATAAAATCTTGCCAAATATGCAAAGGTCCAAATATGCTTTGCTATGTTTTATTTCCACATTGGATAGAAATGAGATCTCTGAGAAGTCAACATTGTTGGCAACTATAGGATGATAAACTAATAGGCTGCTGATTAGGACAATGGCCTTAGTGAGCAGAAATACCCCATTTGTTGGAGTGCCTGGCACAGACCTTTGTAGGGTCCAACTACCCAGTCATTTCTAATAAAGGAGAGCACTACTAATAATATCACTGTATTATTAATTACTATACTATTTACATAAACCTTACCTTGGTAGTTTTTATCTTGGGATTATCATAGTCTCCATTTCTTTGTTAGCAGCCAAGCAATAAATGGCTAATTAACTACTATTACATTTTATTCAATTTCTAACTCTCATGCTCCCGTTAATTGTTCTCTCCTTTTTATAGGAATAGAGCTTTCACACATAGCTTCTACATTGGCACTCAATTACTATATGACTAACCTACAATGGCTGATGAAAATGTATAAATTATTGTTAAGCGATTAAACACAGCAGAGAACTATATTATTTTTTTATAATTTTCACAGCTAAATGGCAACAATAAATTTAATTTAATAAAATCCACCTTCCAAACTATTATTCTGATCTTAAAATTCTCTCTTTTAATTAATCCATTACATTAATTAGACTCAGAAGGTTCCCAAATATTTATAAAATCTACAATATCTAATAGTCAACTTGTTTTATGTTTTCAAAATGTATTGCTGGTTTAAATAATTTCTAAACGCGTTTTTATTTTATGAGGCGATTTCAACTTTAATTTTCAGCTTTGGACCCTAGACATTTTAGACTGATTTATTATTGCAATTTTCACATCCTACATAAAGTACAATTAACTGTTGTAGGACATCATACCTTCTTTAATTTTACTGGCATCCTAGACAAACATATTTCAGAACAGATATGATTTTATTTTAAATATTATTATACTAAGGGGAATTCATAATTATAAAATGTAATTGCTGGTAAGCTTCCCCCACCACAATAATATCATTGACCTG